ATTCTAAGCCTTGAGTGTTAACTCTTTGAATGTTATATACATACAGGGGGAAACTGCAAAAAGTAGAAAATAAAAAAGTATCTTTTGTTTGGATTTTAACTTGAGCCTCAAGCATTTTGTTTTTATTGTAGAATTCTTTAAACTTATATAGAGGTTGAGAGAACAGTATAATGAACTCAGTTTCAAACATTGTGAACTCCTGGCCATCTATATCCTAGTATTTCCAAGCACCACTGGATTATTTTTAAGCAAGTCCTAAACCTTAACCTCATTTCAACCAGATATGACCTTATGTATGGCTTTAGTATCTATGGTGGGTGCACTGCTCAAAACTCCCTTCTAGAAAGAACTTGCTGACCAGCTGCAAGAAATGAGTGCAGTCAGCTCACTTTTAGCCAGTGTTTGATCAATGCCACACTCGCGGACATCCTCCAGCCAGTAACTAAACATGGCAGCAGTTCTAAGGCATGGCAGTTTCTACCCGTTGTGGAACTGCTTGGTCAGTCTATGGACCAAAGTTCACCATTGGGCCAGCCAAGAGTTTGTCAGGCATTCATGCTTTTCAAAGCCCAACCTCTTTCTTTCCTTTCAAAGTGACAGTCCATCATGATAAGGGCTTTTGCTACCGAGTCCAGTTCTTGCTAATTTTCATAGGTTCGTCTTTATTTTGACATCTTAGAGCATTCAACTGACAAAATAGCTAAAAGCATTCTTTTTAAAGTGCGTAGAAAAGACCTAACATATTAGACCTGAGACTGCTATTTTTTTATTTTTTTATTTTTATTTTTTTAAGAAAAGGCCTTTGTGTGGTTGACTTTTGGCTGGTGTCTGGGAACTTGACTTTTAGGAGGATTTTCTGAAAAATCCCTGATAAAAATGGTTCACCATGCTTAAACTGTTTGTGTGAACAATATGGTTTATGCCGAACATCTGCTTCTGGATGTCTGGAATTTTGGTATGTGCTGGGCCTCCATGACTAGCCCCTTAAAAATATTGGAAATTCTTTTTTTTCTCTTTTAAAAACATTTTAAACTGATTTCAGAGAGAAATATCCACGATGAGAGAGAATCACTGATTGGCTGCCTCCTGTACCCCCCTACTAGGGACCGAGACTTCAACCCGAGCATGTGCCCTTGACCAAAATCAAACCTGGGACCCCTCAATCCCAGACCGACGCTCTATCCACTTAGCCAAACCAGCTAGGGTGGGAATTCTTTACTGTGCATCCCTGGTTTTTCACACGGGTTGTTATAACTTGTTGCTGGACAGATTAAACATGTTTTAGTGTGACTCCACTGGGAGAGAAGTCTTTGACTTGTGCCTGTTTTCCTCTGGACAACACCCCATGTGCCTTTTTGCTTTGTTGATTTTGCTTTTTATCCTATCTCTGTAGTAAATCATAGACCTGGGAACAGACTATATGCTATCTTGTGAGAATGAGTCCTGTGAATTTCCCTAGCAAATCACTGAGCCTGAGGATAGACTTGGGGACCCTAACACATTAAAAACAAATCTTACAAGAAATTTATGAATCCTTAATACAAAGTAACCAGTCAATGTTTAGACTTCCTTAATTGTATTTTTAAAAAAATATATTTACGTTATTAAAGATCAAAACAAGATCTGCCCATTTCATTCAGTTGAGTGGTTTAATCGGATCCTATATATTACTCCCCTTTTATTCAGTTTTTCCATTTTGCCTGGACTTTGCTGATTATATTTTTTTAATGGCGTTTAACATGTTTCTCTATTAATGTTAGTTTCCTGGAAGCTAATACTTAATTCTAGAGGTTTGGTTGGGTTTAAATTATATTATTTGATAAGATTAGTTGAGAGATGGTGTTTACTTATTGTATGTCTCTGGGAGGCACTTAATACCTGCATTTCTTTTGTGGTAAAATTTTAGGTGGTGTCAGCCTGATTGATCCATCATCCACTGTAAAATTTGCTACCAACTTTTAATGATTTTAGCAGTAATAAATCTTTACCTACAACTATTATTTCCATAGAGTTGCAGAAATGGTGATACCTCCTTCTATCTTTCCTTCATTTATTAGGTGTTATTTTTTCATAAAGAACTTATTTCAACCAGTTGGTTCATACAGGAAAAGTAGGATAAATGAATGATTCTTGAACTTTTTCAGTGTTCAGAATGAGTACGTTTCCTAGCACTCTCGAGAGGTTGGCCAGTGAGATTTTTATTTCTTAGTATCATGAACTAATGGATTTTAACATTTGTATTAATCTAACGAGTGTGTGTGTGTGTGTGTGTGTGTGTGTGTAATTGTCCCATCTCTAGGTTATGAGAGCTTCTTCATGTTGAACCTGACATAATAGTTTATTTAGAAAATGTTTTTATTGACTTGAGGGGTGGGGGGGGGAGAAGAAGGGGAGAGAAAGATCATTTCCAGAAAGAAACATCTTAACCCCTTTACCATTTTTAGCCCATCCCACAACCCACCTCTCCTAGGACAGTTGTCAATCTGTTCTCTATCTACAAGTCTATTTCTATTGTGTTAGTTTATTTGTTCATTAGATTCCACATGAATGAAGTGGTATGGTACTTGTCTTTCTCTGTCTGGCTTATTTCATTTACCATAATGTGCTCCAGACCCATCCATGCTGTCACAATGGGTAAGATTTTATTTTTTATGTCTGAGTTGTATTCCATTGTATAGGTGTACCACAGCTTTTTTTGTCCGCTCATGTACTGTTGATGGACACTGGGCTTGTTTCATTTTGCTTTTGATTTTTAGGGATTCCTCACATTTTGTTGATTGTTTTATAATTATGTGAAACATTACATGGTTCTATAAGTAAATCTGTAAAAAAAAATAAATAAATAAATAAAAATTAGGGGAAACTGTCCCTCCTTGTTCCTCCTATAATTATATATATATAATTTTTCACATTTATTTGTATTTCCCCTCACATTTATTAGGGAGAAAGTAGCATACTATAAACACTGTTTGCATCTTGCTTTATTTTTTTTTTTTTAATATAGCTCTCCATATATATCATTCCATAGCAGATAATACATTCTTTTTTTATAAGAGCATAATACTCCATTATATAATTGTATCTGTTATTTTAAGTGGTTTTTCTATTATGGACATTAGAGTGTTTCTAGTTCCATTATAGACAGTGCAGCTATAAATAGCCTTGTATATGTTTCTTTTCATAAGGATTTCTGTTTATATTTGGGATGGATTTCTAGAAGTGGAATTCCTGGGTTAAAAGGTAAATATATAGACAGTTTTTCTGGCTTTGCCCAAATTCCCCTCTACAATGGGACAGTACCACTTTGTACTCCCATCCATCGGTAATGTATGAGAATACCTGTTTTCCCATAGCCTCTGAACATATTGTCATCAACCTTCACAAAATATTTTAAGTGGATCTGTGTTTCAGAATCTCGGGCAAAAGTGTGATATGGACTATAAGGTGTGATCCTAATAATGGAGCTATGTTGGTCTTTAAGAGATTTAGAGAAATGCAGGTCTTCACTAAGTGGGTATAGTTTCACCAAAAAGTGTTGAAGGTGCCAAACCGGTTTGGCTCAGTGGTAGAGCGGCGGTCTGCAGACTGAAAGGTCCCAGGTTCGATTCCGGTCAAGGGCCTGTGCATTGGTTGCAGGCACATCCTCAGTAGGGGTTGTGCAAGAGGTAGCTGGTCGATTTTTCTCATCGACGTTTCTGGCTCTCTATCTCTCTCCCTTCCTCTCTGTAAAAAAAAAACCAATAAAATATATATATTTTTAAAAAGTGTTGAAGGTATAGCATAAGAAGGACCTAGTAAATAAATGGAAACATTAGGAGAAATTGGGGATAACTCCTAAGTTTCTGGGAGTATGAAAGATTTCCTCTAGAAAAGGCTGAGCATTAAGAGATTATGAGAATTCTATCTTGGATAACTTGGATTTCAGATGCTTCTGAGATGTATGTTAGAAATGTAGTTGGATATATGAATCTGAAGAGGAAATTTTGGGATAGACTAGAGCTTTTGAGTCGTCACTTTATATAGTAAGATTTTTCTGTAGATGAAGATACCCAGGAAAAGAATAATAGTAATATTTGACCACTTTCAAGTTGACTTAAGAGTAGTTTATATTCCCCTTCCATGTTTATTTTTTACATAGCAATTGACATAACATCTCTTTTACTAGAATTAGAAAAATACACTTCATTTTTATGACATTTCTATGTAGAGTATATATACATATACTGTATAATATAATTCTGTTCTGAACTAGTAATTTATTTTAGTGGGTTTGAATTTTTATAGTGTGAGAGAGTGTAGATTTCTTCATGAAACTTAGGCATACAATGAATGTGTTCCAAAGCTTATCTTTGGTTCAGTCTCAAGCATCTTCTCTTTTTTTAGGGTTATCTTCTAACCCTATCAAGAAGATGCTTGAGACTGAACCAAAGATAAGCTTTGGAACACATTCATTGTATGCCTAAGTTTCATGAAGAAATCTACACTCTCTCACACTATAAAAATTCAAACCCACTTATACTTTGAACTAGAGGCCCAGTGCACGAAATTCATGCACTTGAGGGGGGATGCCTCAGCCAGACCTGCGCCCTCTCGCAGTCCAGGAGCCCTTAGGGGATGTCCGACTGTCACAGAAATTAACTGGGTTCATGTTCTTATTATATTTAAAAACAAATGGCAGAACTGGAACTGGTTCCAAATTCAGGAAGAGGTCAGCATCTACTCCTGTTAAAGTAATTCTTAAACTTGGGTTAAGAAAAGGTGGAGAAAGAAGAGCTTGTGTGTTATTGTTGTTGTTTCACTACCCCAAGTTAGCAAAGAATGTTTCACTAAGTTTTTAGCAAGAATTATTTATTCTGGCAGTTAATATCATGAATAAATATCATTTAATTACCATTAAGAATAATATGACTAGGTTTTTCTATAGGTTGCATATAATTTTAGTCTTCTTTGGCAGTTATCATAAGCACTGCTCTGTGATTCTTCTCTTCCTGTCTTCTCAGATATCCGGAAAGTGGTATTGTAAAAGTAAATTTGAAGGATCTTCGACCACGCGCTAGAACCATTTTGAAATGGAATGAACTGAATATCGGTGATGTGGTAATGGTTAATTACAATGCAGAAAGTCCTATTAATAGAGGACATTGGTTTGATGCAGAAATTACTGAATTGAAGACCATTTCAAGGACCAAAAAAGAACTTCGTGCGACTGTTTTCTTGGGGTAAGACTCTCTTCACTGTTCTAGCATTGCTGCCGTTGGTTCCATAATGGTTTCTGTAAAATTAAGATCTGCCTCCTTTATGTATTATTGCTTATGCTTAATACTTAAAAATTAGGAATGTAATTTTTAAATATTAAGCACAAGTTTCTTTTTTTTTTTTTTTTTAAATGGGGCATCTATGAAAGATGGGAATTTACTTACGAAAGGATGCTTTTAAAAATAAATTCTCGAGATTTTTTTTATTAAGAATGACCCTTAAATCTTTATAGCAACTGTAACTAAAATCCCAATTAGTAAATAGACAAAGTTCAGTGAATTTTCACACCTGACTTTTAATTATAGCTTGCATATGAGTGTATTTTGCTGGCAGAAGTTAACCTTTCTTCCTTTTTCAAACAGGGGTTCCGAAGGAAAATTAAATGACTGCCAGATAAAATTTGTAAATGAAATCTACAAGATCGAGAAACCTGGGGCCCATCCTCTATCATTGGCAGATGGAAAGTTTTTAAGTATGAATTTTTTTCTGGGCTTACACTACATGTATTGTACGTGATTGGCATTTTAATTGGCCAGGGAATAATGTAAAGAAATATAAAACTTAGCCCGTACAATTTTATTTTTAAGACGAGAGGCCTGATGCACTAAGATTCCTGTAAGAGTGGGCCTGCCTTCCCCTGGCTGCTGTCAGGGCCTTCACTCTGCCCCTAGTAGTCTTTCTGCCTTCCCACACTGCCCAGAGGCCCCAACCGGTTAGGGCTGTGCAGAACACTTATGTCAGATGCAAGCATCCCAACCCTGGCCCTTTGGCACCTATATATGCAAATTAACCCACCATCTTTGTTGGGTTAATTTGCATATTCCTGATTGGCTGGTGGATGTCTAGAAGGAATAGTCCATTTGCATCTTTCTCTTTTATTAGTGTGGATGGCAGTTTTAAGATGCATTTTGGTCTAATGAATTTCTCACGTGATAAATTATTTTTTCAGAAATATTTTCTTGGTGTTTATTGCCATTTTCTCTACTATAGGTTCTATTAAAAAAAATTCTGTTTCAGCAATTTTATGGCCATCCAAGATTAATTTTTACTAATGAGACCTATTTTTAAAATACACATAGGTACACCCAAAAAATCTTATAGTAATGGTCATAATACCAAAAGTTACTATTAAATATCAATATTAGACCAGTAGAGCCTAAGAATAATAGTGCTGACCAATCCTTGAATTTCTGGGAGGTAATAAATGAGATTTATATAATCATTAAAATGTATCCCTACCTCTTCATTGTACATATTTTACTTGCTTAATATCATGCATCTAGTTGGTAACAGAGATATGACTAGATTCTAGGTCTATTCACTTATGATTCAATTGCTGTCGTTCCAAATAGATTACAGTGTCTCAAACTCTAATTCTGGATTTTTTTGTGGAGAGCAATCCATTGATTTTATGCCACTTGTCAGTGTCTAATATATTCTGCGAAAGAATTGATAAAGACAAGAGATCCTGTCTAACCTCTTCTTACCCTAATTGTGCAAGATTATAAGAAAAGAACTTTAATAGATCAATAAGCAGACTTTCATGTTACCTATCTAGACCCTTCTAATTTTTTGTTTGTTTTGTTATTTCTCACCCAAAGATATTTTTTTCCATTGATTTTTAGAGAGAGTGGAAAGGAAGGGGAGAGACGGAATGAGAAGCATCGATGTGAAAGAGAAACATCAATTGGTTGCCTCCTGCACGTGACCCGACCAGGGCCAGGATTGAGTTTGTAACTAATGTACATTCCCTTCACTGGAATCAAACCCAGGACCCTTCTCAGTCTGTGGGTCAGTGCTCTATCCATTGAGCAAAACTGGCGAGGGCAGCTCTTCTAATTTTTTAATTATGCAATTCTAATAACATATCTAGCTTTTAATTAAGAGCCTTAACACATTGGTCACCAACCTTTTGGACCTCATGAACCACCAGTGGTCCACAGACTGCCGGTTGGTGACTGCTGTGTTAAATCATACTCTGTATGACTATTTGTATGGTTATATCTTAAGGAAAAGGTAACTTAATGAGTAAACCTACTTAATGTGACTTAGTTTTTCTCATGTCTTTGTTTCCTCCCACTCAGTATATCTGTGTGTGTGTGTGTGTGTTCTCTGTTTAATACTAATCACTTTATAGCTACAACTTTGCACTTGTGTGTAAAGAAACCATATCAGAGCCACATCCAGACTTCCATTGACTCACTCCCCAACCAAAAATCTAAACATTCCTTTTAGGTTTGTTGTATTCCAATACTTAGGTGTTAAGCTACCTTAGTGGAAGTGGAACAAAAATACCTTTATTGACAAGAACAGGCAGCTTTCAGTCAAAAAGTTAGCACTAAAATCAGTAGCCTTTTCTCTTTTCCTTCTTCCATCCCCTTTGTCAGGTACTTTTCCCCATTTCCCTTATATTGCTAGATTAGTTTTAATATGGTAAATTTCCTTTAAAAATGTACATATTATATAAATTCAAGTAATATAGAACTCCCAGGAGGTGCATGCTAACATTGTATGTCATTTTAGACATCTTCCCATATATAATTTATCTTTGTATATTTAAATAATTTTGTAGGTTTTTAAAATTATTTTCTTTTTGAAATGTGTCTTCCTCTATATTAATAATTCTTGTAAACTGACATAAAATCTATCCAACTGTTCTTTTGGTTAACATTTAATATTAACTTTTGGTATTATGACCACTACTGTAAGACTTTTTGGGTGTAACTATGTATATTTTAAAATTTTAAGGGAACACCTTGTTAAAAGGTGTTTGGATTTAGATAGGGAGGGGGCAATAAATGGTACTTCTTAACTTGCCAGAATTTTTAATCAATTGATAAATTGGATTTAAAAAATCAACTGAGTTGGAAATGCCACTTATTCAACAAAGTATAGTATTTCACTTGAAATTGTAAGATATCTTATGGTACCCTAGTGAGTTCACTGGATTGGTGCACATTTGGGAAACCATGCGTTTAGTCAATATAAATTTTTAAAACAAAAGTGCATTATCCCCATGATTGAGTGTAGTTAGATTTATTACTGACACATGCCTGAGCCCATCCCTGAAAATCTGATTCATAAATCTAAAATGAGACTCAAGCACTTATTATTAAAGTCCTATACTCTCATTATTCCTTATAGTTCCTTTCTTGTCATTAAAAAAAGCTGTGTAGTATTTTTATGAGGTTTTCTTTAGAAGATTCATAGATATAAAAATGATTTTAAGACTAGGCTTGCTGCATTGTGTTCTTATTAGGGAGAAATGAACCTGAATGTAACTTTTGTCGCGGAGACCCAGATAAAAACTGCCGTGATTGCTCCTGTCGTGAATGTGGTGAAAAACGGGACCCAAGCATGCAGCTTCTTTGTGATGAATGTAACTTGGCCTATCATATTTACTGCCTGAACCCACCTTTGGATAAGGTCCCTGAAGAGGAATGGTATGATTATCAGGGGTTTTTTGTTGTTACTATGTTTAAAATTTAATGTGAAATAGATATTTGAACCACCAAACATAGATTTCCAAAGATACATAATGTATATTAAAGTACTTAATGTATTAGGGTCTTAATACTTTTATTCAGTTATTACAACAGCTTCTGAACTGATCTCTAGCTCCATATTTAATCCCTCCTGTCTCTGCTCCAATACGAAGTCTATGTTCTAAAGACACATGGCATTTCTAATCACTCTTAGCATACATACAACACTGATGTATTTCCTTTATACCACTTAGCTAATATAAATATCCTTAAATACTTGTTATAATAGACTATACATTTTTCGCTTGAGAATTCTAATAACCAATTTATATGGGAGATGTATGAGTTGCATACATAGTTTAATGTTCAGTCTAGAATCATCTATTAGGTGAATAATTTCCATTCTCAGCGTTAGTGATAAGATGATTCTATTTGAATTGGGCAGCTGTGTCTGGCTTTTGAACTGAGAATTTATGATATTAAAATATTTTATGTTCTCTAAGAGAGTGACAACTTTTTTGTTCTGTTGTATTGTTGCTTTGACCAGCCTAAATCATGTAAATATTTTGAAAACTTTAATACTTAAGTACCAGCTGAAGCTCTATACTATACACTGATTATAACATCTTAAAACTCATTCTGACCTACAAAGGCCATTATTTTGTTATTAGAGGCCTGGTACATGGATTCGTGCATGGGTGGGGTCCCTCAGCCTGGCCTGTGCCCTCTCGCAATCTAGGGATTGGGCTTAAAACCCAGCAGTCTGACATCCCCTTGAGGGGTGTAACAGTGCTGAAGCTGAAGGTGGCTGGGTAAGACCCCCAGCCAGGGCCGGGCACAGCTCTGCTGATGTTTATCCTGGCCTCGCTGCACCTGCTGCTGCTGCTGCCGCCACCCAGTAGCACTGCCACGGAGACAGGAGAGGCTCCCACCCCCCACAGCTATGCTCATCAGCCATGAGCCCACTTCTGGCTGAGCCACGCTCCCACTGTGGGAGCACACTGACCGCCAGGGGGCAGCTTCTGCATTGAGAGTCTGCCCCATGGTGGTCAGTGTGCATCATAGTGACCAGTCATTTAATAGTAACAGCCGCTTAGGCTTTTATATACGGTATATAGATTGGCTTTAATATAGTATTATCATAATTCTTTTTTTTTTTTTTTTTTAAGGTATTGTCCTTCCTGTAAAACTGATTCCAGTGAAGTTGTAAAAGCTGGTGAAAAACTTAAGATGAGTAAAAAGAAAGCAAAGATGCCATCAGCTAGTACCGAAAGCCGGAGAGACTGGGGAAGGGTAAAGAAAAAGTCTCCCTTTTTTTTCTCTAGTCATAATATTTATAACTCTAATGTAAGTTATAAGGTTTCAATAACAACAGCAGTAATGGTATAAATATTGTAGTACTCTTTTAAGTATCAGAAATATTAACAAATAATTATGTTGTTTAATGATATTAATTGCTAATTTATAATTATTACTAGAGGCCTTGTGCACAGTCGGGGCTGGGGAGGGACCACCGGAGGGCTCCAGGGCTGTTCTGGCCCATCTTGCCTGGATCCCAGCAGCAAGCTAACTTGGAATGTCTGCCCCCTGGTGGTCAGTGCATGTCATAGCAGCTGGTTGAATGAACAGATAGACACTTAGCATATTAGGCTTTTATTATATAGGATAATTGTTCATTGAACTTAATTTGGATTGTTTTATATTGTTAATCATATAGTTGGGTTTATATTCACAAGTATGGGATTTAAGGACTTAAAGGTTTAACGTAACTGATTTCTCAAATGGCTTTTCTGTGACTTGTAGGGAATGGCCTGTGTTGGTCGCACTAAAGAATGTACCATTGTTCCTTCTAATCATTATGGACCTATTCCTGGGGTTCCAGTTGGATCGACTTGGAGATTTAGAGTTCAGGTATTTTTAAAATTGGCTTAGTGGAAAGGATAAAATTGGATATAGTTCAAATTGTAAAAACAATCATTGCCTGTTGATTATAAATAGACTAACTTACATAGTTACACATGGCATTCAGTTGTTATAATGCAAGATTTTCTGTTGTAATGTGTAGGCTCTTCCCCAGAGTTTGACAGAGAAACATTTATCATGAAATTAGCCTAATTTCATCATTTTAGCCTTTTTATCATTTAATTTTACTCTCTGTTATGTGATGTAGGCTAGCATTATTGGTAAGCTTTCTAAAGAAATTTCCTTTAAGTCATGTAGGTGGTAAGTTCTCATCTAATGTCATTGAACTTCAAGAAGGCTCACTTTAGGTGTTTTCTTTGGGGCTTATCCTCCTGAATGATTGTTAGGTATTGGTCAGAGGAACTGCCATATAATTTCAGGATAAAATTATTTACCTTTACCCCTTGTAGAAGGCTCTGTTGTATTTATTCCTGATTTATTGTTTAGAAAGGTAATTTTATCATTACGGAAAACTTAAGTTTCCAATTAGAGTATTTTAAACTTTAAATAAGACTAGTGTGGCTATATATATATTGAGAATTGTTGTTATACATTCATTTGTTGATTTTTGTTTGTACCCTGACTGGGGATTGAACCCACCACTTTGGCATATTGAGAAGATGCTCTAGCCAACTGGAGCTACCCTGTCAGGGTCTACAGTGGTAACATTTTAAAATTAAAATAGTGTAAGAGATATACATAGCTTGAAAAGTTAAATACTAATACATGGCATATTTTAAAAACCCACCCTTTGTTCCCATTTTCTATTCATCAGAGGCAACCACTTTAACATTTGAGTTGTTTTCTTCTGGATTTACCACATTATTTCCCAATAATGTGTTTAAACTGCTTTTGTCTTCATATATTACTACTTTTATTAACTTATATAGAAAATGAATAGTTAAACACACTATCCTCCCATCCTTGCAATGGTTAAAATAATTTTGGCTAAATCAGTATTCAAAGTTTATAATATTATGACTTTGGATATGTAAATACAGTAAAAAATTTTATAAATACAATATCATGAAATATAAATACAATAAAAACACTCTCTGTATTTTTAATTGTTTTCTAATTTGCTTTGATGTGTTTGTGTGTGTGTGTGTGTGTGTGTGTGTGTGTGTGCCTGTCACTAATTCATTTCCAAATTCTAAAAGCCCCACTAAAAAGGTCTAAGATGATTTTGAGGTTGTTGGTCTGAGTAAGTAGAGGGGTGAATTTTCCATTTAGGAAATTGGGGAAGACTCAGAAGAGATGTATTTTCTTCAGGGTTGGTGAGGTTGGGAATCAGGTGATCTTATCTTCTGAAGTACCTGGTGTTTCCAAGGACTAAATCCAGGTTCTATTGCCCATACCAGCTTCTCATAGCTGATATTGCCTCTTTCCCTAGTCCACTATTCAGGTATGGATTTTAGCTCCTTTTCCTCTGCTAAGAACAGTTGTATGTTAAGCAGATGAATTACAGTGCTTCTCTGAGGGAGTTGAAGTACACAAAGATGTGACAGTCGGTTTAGTGAGACAGTTGTGAATGTAAATGGAAAAAATAGGGCATTGAAAAAGTAGAGTAGCATGAGTAAACTAAGAAAATGGGTAGCATGTTTGAGTAGCATTGAGTAGTTTTGGTTCAAACATAAAGGCTCCAGGAAGGAGAAGCTGGAGATAAGGAGATAGTAGTCAGATTGAGAAAGGATAATGTGTAATACTTAAGTTGGGTGCCATAGACTATCAGACCATTTAATATATTTTAAGCAGTTGAAAATTAAAAGCAGATTGCTTCTTAAAAGGATCATTCTGTTTCTGGTGGTAGATTGAGTTTGAAGAAACAAAACTGGAAGCTGTGAAACAGGGTCTTTAAGTATTAACAACTCAAACTAGTATTATAACCATGAAAGGAGAAAAAGATAGATTTGGGAGATCGAATCCGCAGTATTTGTGACCAAATAAATGGTTTTGAACAATAAAGGAGAAGATTGAGGCTAACATGACCTTTGCCTTTCTGACATGGCTAGGGAACAGTGGCATAATCAAAAACGAAAAATAAGAAAGGAAGAGATCTGTAGCACTGATAGAAAGTTCTTGTTTAGCCGAAACCGGTTTGGCTCAATGGATAGAGCATCGGCTTGGAGATTGAAGGGTCCCGGGTTCGATTCCAGTCAAGGGCATGTGCCTTGGTTGCGGGCATATCCCCAGTGGGGGGTGTGCAAGAGGCAGCTGATTGATGACTCTCTCTCATCGATGTTTCTAACTCTGTATCTCTCTCACTTCCTCTCTGTACAAAATCAATAAAATATATTAAAAAAGAAAGAAAGAAAGTTCTTGTTTACCCAAATTGAGCTATTATTAGCAATAGACAAAAAATGATTACTTAATGATTATTTTGAAACTCAGAATTCTAAGCTTGAGCACTTATAGGAATCATCAGTTTAGTACCTAAGGAATATATATTTGGGAGATGTAAAGTTATTGAGCAAAAAGTAGAATTCTGGGTGACAATGCAGTTTTAATTGGAGGCTTTTAGGTCCAAAGGGTATATGTGAAAGCATTTTGTAAATGTAACAGTTAACTAAATGTTCAAAGGTATTTTGAGACTTTGTTTATTTTCTAGGTGAGTGAAGCAGGTGTGCATAGGCCCCATGTTGGTGGAATTCATGGCCGAAGTAATGATGGAGCTTATTCTCTTGTCCTGGCTGGTGGATTTGCAGATGAAGTAGTAAGTCATGATAAAACCTTATACTTTATTTTTAGAATAGGTTTTGATCATTCAGTAAAATACAGAAGTTGTGTCTAGAGTATATCAAATCCTACCTCTTTTTAGTGCACTATTTATGCTGAAATGGTTCTCTACAGGTTACAGGGTAAATCATTTGACAGTATTTGGTCTTTGTGTTATTTTGATATATATGTAATCAGTTACCATATTTAACTAACTGGTTATTGCAGTGAAAATACATTCCCTGTAGATCTCATTTTTTAAATTAAACTTGTAATTTTGGGATAACTAGATTGACATGTAGCATTAGAAATAGTATAAATATATTTGTGCTCTTTACCCACTTTCCCTCAATAGCACATTTTTCAAAATTATAGAACAATATCACAGCCAGGATATTGGCATGATACATTCAGAATGCAACATTCAGAATGCAACATTATTTTCCTTACCACAAGTATCCCTCTTGTTGCCCTTTTATAGCCACATATACTATATCTGTTCCCCCAACCCCTCATAACCCCTGGTATCCACTAATCTTTTCTTCATTTCTAAAATTTTTTCTCTACAAAAATCTTTATAAGTGGAATCGTATAGTATGTAACCTTTGGAAATGGCTTTTTTTTTCTTTCTTCTTTTTCTTTTTCTCAGCATAATTCTCAAACTATGGCATGTATCAATAGTTCATTCCTTTTTATTGCTGAGTAGTAGTCCATGATGTAGGTATACCACAGTTTGTTTAACCATTCACCTCTAGAAGAACATCTGGGTTATTTATTATGAATAAAACTCTTAACATTTATGTACAGGTTTTTGTTGTTATTTTGCTGATATAAGTCTCCAGTTCTCTGGGATAAATGCTCAGAAGTACAGTTGCTGGGTTGTATAGTAGTTGACATGCATTTTTTGAAGTTATATCTTTAAGTATTTTTTAGAAATATAAAGAATGTTATGTAACTAATTAAAGTCAGCACTTAGATTTTTAAAGACTCTGTAAGAAAACACACCAACTAAAGTGGAATCTCTTCAACATATGTTTTTAGCAATTAGTAAGTTGTTTTGATCTGGACTCTGACCTTTGTGTGTGAGACCTTGGCCAAATTATTTAACTCCACTAACTTCAGTTTCCCAGGTGTAAAATAGAAAAAATAATATAATTTTACGTCAGAAAGATATTGATTGTTTTTTCCTCTCTCCCCCTTGAGTTATTGATTTTTACATTAAGAAATTTATGTAATCTAAGCATATAATAAGGATGTATACAGTCCTGTGATCTGGACCAGAAACTTGTCTTAAATATATGAAACATAAACCTATAATTATAAAACTAAAAATGAGTACCAAGTTAAAGTTATTATAGATGGATATTACCACTTTCTTTTTTCCCCATATTTTGAATATATTTATTAGTTAAACATTTGTGGAGAAAAAGTGCTAATGAAGTGTTGTATGCCATTTCTAAGTTTATTAAATAATGCAAAGAATAATTTAGGCTTAGAGATTGCCAACTAAGATATATCTGGAGATGTTATATTTTGTAAGCATTTTCAATCTTTTGACCTTTTATTGTAGGCAAATCATATCTACAGAAATAATATATATATAAATATCCTATATAATAAAAAGTTAATATGCAAATTGACTGAATAGCTCATCGCAATGACAGCACTGACCACCAGGGGGGTAAACGCTCAATGCAGGAAATGTCCCCTGGTGCTAAGTGCACTCCCATAGGGGAAGCACCACTCAGCTAGAAGCCTGGCTCACCGCTGGTGGGAGCCTCTCCCACCTTCGCGGCAGTGCTGAGGATGTCCGACTGAGGGCTTAGGCCCACAGGGCTCTCGGACTGCAAAGGGGCACAGGCCAGGCTGAGGGACACACACATACACACACTGCACAAGTTTCATACACTGGGCCTCTGGTATAATAAATAATAAATACATAATAAATGTGTTATGGAGAATTTTTTAAATGGTACTCCATGCTAATATTGATAAGATTTTTTTTAACAACACTAAGTTAAATAATATTCCCAACCCATACGAGCTAGTTTTGTAATATTCTATAGATTATTTGATTATGTGTATATTATGAGAATTGCCCTATTTGGAGGTGTGTAACTTTAAAAAGAGATGTTTAGGTTAAATATATACTTAAAAGTATACTATACATAAGATTGCATTTGAATTGGGTCTTATTTTGGTAGATACCTTGGGAGACCATGTCAGTTTACAACATCCCAACTAGTGTTCTGACTTTGAAACAAGAATTGATGAAATTATACTTGGGTTTAGGTGTCTTAATGATGAAGAAATCTTCTCCCACAGGACCGAGGTGATGAATTCACATACACTGGGAGTGGTGGTAAAAACCTGGCTGGTAATAAAAGAATTGGTTCACCATCAGCTGATCAGACATTAACAAATATGAACAGGTACTCTTTATTGCTAGAGTTTGTAAAGACTATTTAGAATGAAGACTATAATTTATAACTTAGACTGTAGAGGAGAATCTTACATTGAAAGCTAAAGATCTAAAATTAAAATCCCATTACCTGATTATATAATTGTTCTCAAATCCTAACTTATTTCTTCAAATTATTATTTTTAAAATGACATATTTCCCAATCTTAATAACTGTACTTTGCATTTGAAAACATGTTAAATCCTTTGGAAGCAAGAAGCCTGTATAACTTAAGTAAAATCGAGGACAAGGTGGCTTATCAACTATCCCGTAGGTCAGAATTATGTTCTACTGAACATAGATTTATCTTCTTTTTTCTTTTAAGCTTTTTAAGTTGATTGTTAGAGAGAGAGAAGTGGAGAGTGAGAGAGAAACATCAATGCCTTCTGCATCCCCCCTACCTGGGATTGAGCCCATAATCCATGTCTATAATCCCTTTGGTGCACAGGACAACACCCAACAACTGAGCCACACTGGCCAGGGCCACAGATTTATCTTGTACTCCCCCCCCCCCCACACACACACACTTTTTTTTTAAAGTGACAAAGTTCTTATTAGAAGAGACACTAATGTGGGACAGGGAGCCACACTTATGCTCTTAAATAACACATCAGAATTATTCTCGGTGTTTTTAGGATTTATAATAAGATTCTTTTAAATGTTAGAAGAATGTTTATTTAGTGACAAAAGTAATCTTTTTAAACTAAATGCTTGTAAGGCATTACAAAAAAGCTACCTTATGCTGTCCTTAATTTTATAGGAATATAATGATATTCTAGCTTCCATGGGAACAGAAAATTTAGTAACTTAAAAATGTTTTCTTTCGTAAGTGCTTGCTAATATCAGTAATAATAAATTCAGTAACCCAAACCATGATACAGCAACAACTACTTTATAACTTGTCATGTTGATAATTTGTTTGTCATCATTTCATAAAGTTTAAATTTTTTATATTATATTAATAAGAGTATTTTGTGGGTTGTTAAGTAAAAGTAATTTTCGCTTTCTTGAGTCTAAATCACTCGGTTTTATATAGTGTACCCATAATTTCTGATTACCATGTGAAGTAAAGAATATACCAGTATGATTTCAAGACTTTGTTGAATACCAAGTTATATAGATTCTGTTTTTATGTCTTCCTTCTATATTATTTCTGGCAGTAGGATTATTTTACTGAACCAGCAGAGGAGACAGACCAGATTTGCTGGTGAAACATTCCTGAGGCAGGAGTCCAGTCCCTAGCTAGTCTTCTTCCAGCAATACACCAGCTCTTTAGGGGGAGTGATCTTACAAGTAGTTAGATTTGATGTGTTTTTGTCAATTAAAATGTATCTCAAATTTGAAGAAGGCTATTGCAGGTTGTCAGATCTGAAAATTATATTTTCCCTGTAATAATAGATTTCTTTGTTTGAATGAGACTTCTTTCATAACTAGCTGCACTTGAAATGTACATAGTAAATCCTTTTAAGTTTTTGAAGAACCTAATAAGTTTACCATGTTTATAATATTATTACAAAATTATTGACAAGTAGTAAAAATGTTTTAAAAGGAAGATAGTGAAAATGAAATATTAACTCAAAACACTTTAGGACTGATATATTATAGAGACTCAAATATCCATTCAGCTAATTTATACGTTAAGCTCTGAGTACGCCTTATGATTCATTGTAAAAACTTTTTAGGCAAAGGTACCTGTATGAATTATGAACGTGAAAACTAGGTGAAAGGCCCTTAGCTCTGACCTACAACATACTCTTTCCTGACTAGTATATAATCCAATTCATTTTTGTTTCTCTGCTAAGAGGTAGTTTGATACCTGCTTTTTGCTTTTCAGAAGTTTGTCCCTATTTCTTCTAAGCTCTTGCTCTTTATGAAACTGAAAGGTTAGGGATAGCAAGGTAACCAGGCCATCTTTTGTCAGGTCAGTTAGAGACAACCAATTGAGCTGTGGATAGAGTAGTGGGAGAGCCTTGTTTTAGTTAGTTTCATCATCTTGGACTCTTCACATACTTGTACAGCCTGGTACTTCTGTGAAGCTAGAAGTGAGTTAATGCCAGCTAGTGGTGGCAGTCATTATGACTGAAGGAACCTGTCAGCACCAAAGCATTGCACTCATTAACATGAAGATAGTAGTTATCTTTATGTTAGCTCTTTAAGAAGATGAAGTATGTATTGAGATAGATAGCCCATAAAAATGTAATACTAGTCATTGACTGTGTTTTCCTCTAACTCCCAGAGTAAATGTATCTCCCTTTGAGATAAAAAATAATAATAAGCTTTACAATATAACTATGATCAAGATAATTGTTTTAGTGTTTTTTTTTTAATCAAGATATATTTTAGTAGGAAAAAAAGGGGACATCTGTAATACTTTCAACAATAAAGATATATATTTTTAAAAGTATATATTTTAGTGGATTGTCTGCTATATTTTTGAGCTTACATAAAGAGAACTATACCCTGAACAAATATTTGTAACACCAGATTGTATGTGTATGTATTTTTTAATATTTATTTATTTATTTACTTAATATATTGATTTCAGAGAGGAAAGGGGAAGGAGAGAGATATAGAAACATTAATAATGAGAGAGAACCCACAGCCTGTGCGTGTGCCTGGGAATTGAACCATGCTTGACTTCCTGGTTTATAGGTTGATGCTCAACCACTGAGCCACGTCAGTCAGGCTATGTGTATGTATTTTTGACCTGATGTGTTCTCAGTGGTTTCTAAGTTAGAAAGTAGGTGTCTTAGAGAAAAAAAATACTAATTTCATATAGATTCTAGTTTGGTCTCTTTTTTGGCAGGAGTAAGTTCTCCCAAGAAAGACCTAACATCTAGTAGCCTTACTGATTATTACCGAGTACACATACTTAGGAAGCTTATGCTAAATCAGCTCAAGTTTAGTGTTCCTGCTTGCTCATTTGTCAACAGTAAAATGCACTGATCTTGAGCCGCCAGAAGTCTTTATTATCATGACTTACCACAGACACTTGGATGCTTCAGTTTTATTTAAACTTATCTTCTTACTGGAGGTTTTTAAAGGATATTCTCATATTGAACTTGTTCTTAATATTTTCTAAACTTTAAGGAAACTTCATTATCTGGAAAGCGGACCTAGAGAGGTCATTTGTACATTGCTGACAAATGTATTTTTCTGGGTTTCTTTCTACATTATTCCAGCGATTTACTTTACTCCCATATCAAAAATAACTATTACAACAATCACTTGCTTTAGTTTTCCAACTTTTCCCTTCCCTCAACAAACGTTATTTAAAGAAAATTCCATGTATTTCTAGTTGTTTTCTATTATACGTGGCACAGATGTTATTACTTTCAGAAGAACCCTACAGGCTATCTGAGAACCAATCCCCTGGCTTGGGGATGACATCAGAAAACTGATTTGTCTTCTCTGCTGGTGGGGGAAAGCATAATCCTATTATCTGGAATAATATGGAAAGAATCATAGAATCTTAACCATCAGGTAAGGCATAATTCACCTTTTAATTGAGCTACTGATGTGATTATATACTTGGAGAAAGATTACTTGGTATAAAGACTTTGTTTTATTTTTTTAGGGCATTGGCCCTAAACTGTGATGCTCCATTGGATGATAAAGTTGGAGCAGAATCTCGGAATTGGAGAGCTGGTAAGCCAGTCAGAGTGATACGCAGTTTTAAAGGGAGGAAGATCAGCAAATATGCTCCTGAAGAAGGCAACAGATATGATGGCATTTATAAGGTGCTCTATCTGGCATGACCTCTTGTTAGTCATTCTTCCTGGGCTTTTAGGACAGGGTTACCACCGGGAACTACTCTGCTGTGGGTGGGCTGGAGGAAACAGTAGACTATCTTAGTTAATATTTCTACTTTTTCTAGATATATAGCAGATACACAAAGTGACCTTAAATTTGATACTTTTCTTTTAAGACTAATTTCAAGACCATAAGGGCAAGGCTATATTTGGGGTTAAGCTTTTTACAAGTGTATTCTCTATGATAAAACCACTTAAATAACTTGGCCATTGTAGATCTTGATTCTTATATAGCTTTTGGAATAAGTTTAATTGTAATCAATTTTTAAGCAGCACATTAAAATTTCTAAATAGGTTGTATTCTTAGTTTAAAAAAAAGAGACACTGTCACCATTTCTATTTACTATTATGCAAAACTATTAATGAGCATAATCTTGTTAGTATTTTAATTTATAGCAATCTATACTTATAAAGGAACTATCTTAATAAGAAATAAGGTCAAAATAATAATTTGAATATTCTTAATTTATTTGATACTACACCAAAAGAAGTATCTTTTGAAGTTGCATTTAGTTTGGGCTAGTTTAAAGCACTAATAGGATGGCATTATGAATAAGTTTACACTTTAAATCTCAAATTAGTACTGAAATATTATGATTTAGGTGGTGAAATACTGGCCAGAGAAATCAACAAGCCATGGATTCTTGGTTTGGCGTTATCTTTTAAGAAGAGATGATGATGAACCTGCTCCTTGGACCTCAGAAGGAATAGAACGGTCAAGGAGATTATGCCTACGTTTACAGGTTAGGTTACATTTGTCTAGGCTATTTGTATAGTCATAAAAATGTAACCCTACTATCAACATACCTTAACACTGGATATAACCCACAGCAGTTGATCAGTGGATGGTAAGGCATAAGAATGAGATCATGCAAATATACAGAAGGAAAAGCAATAAAAGGTAGCATCCTAGTTTCAAACTGCCTTCAGACCAAGAATGTGCTTGGGAAAAGTTGGGCTGGTCAATGAAAAGTAAAGTATTTCCAATTCAATATGGAATTGACTTAAAGTATGAGGGAAAGGGATACATAAACTTTTTAGATATAGGAAGCCTTGAAAAGGGCTGTGTATCCTAGATGGCATAGGGGATGTCTGGTAAGGGAATGGGGGAGGTGGCTTGTTAGAGTGGTCTGCTTCCTACCCTTCTCACTTTTCCTCACCCCTTTTCTCTCTTCCCCCTCAAAGCTGCTTCTCTGCTCTGTCACCACCTTTAGTGTTATGCCTTTTTTTCCCCTTTGCCCATGTCATCTGTTAACTCATATAAGACTTTGTTGGTTTTGTGTACATAGTGAATAATATGGCTACATTCCCCCTGCACTACCTAGACTTTGTCCCTGACACTGACTTCAGAGCATGGTTTGAGTTCATCCGCCATCATTCCCATTGTTGTGCTTTCTGTAAAGACTACCAGCTTTATCATTTTCCCTGGCTCTGCCCACACTGCATGTGTAGGGGCTGAACTATGGGGCAAGTATCTGACCACCCAGGCAGGTGAGTGTGTGTCTTTTAGTGCAAGTCTGTATCTGTTTTTGTTTTCTTTTTAAAATCATAGAATTTATTGTTTAAATGAGACTCATCAGCTGCTAAAATAACTGCCAAATTACAGTTGACCCTTGAACAACATAAGGGTTAGGGGCATCGAACACTGCACAGTCAAAAAGCCATGTGTAACATTTGATTCCACAAAATCTTAGTACTAATAACCTACTGTTGACCAGAAGCCTTGCTGATAACATAGACTGTTAACACATTTCTTGTTTGTTATATGTATTATCTATAATAATAAAAGCATAATATGCTAATTAGACCAAGTGGCCATTCGAATGAAGCTAGGGCTGCGAGGGCCAAGCCCCTTGGATGACTTTCATGCACCGGGCCTTTAGTATACTATATTCATACAATAGAGCAAACTAGAAAAAAGAAAATATTATTAAGAAAAATCTGAGAAGAGAAAATACATTTATAATACTATATTTAATGATACTATGAATTTACATGATCTGTTTATAAGATGAATTATCTGTCAGTACCTACATCAGTATTGTCTTACATGATACAAGGCAATATGTGTTATTAACAGTAAAGATAAAACAAAAAGATAATGTGAAAAAGAAATTTATATCTATTTAGAGATATAACAATTCATATAATAAAATCTCCAAAAAACTTTCCAATATATTTATTGAAGAGAATTTACATATAAGTGGGCCCCCACACAAACTAAACCTGGGCTGTTCGAGGGTCAACTCTAATTCTTTTTGTAACTGAAATTTCTAAAAATCTTTTGTATTTTTAAAAGATTTTCTCAGATCCATTGTTCATCAAAGAACGTTCTAAATAATTTAGACATAAAACTGAGTGGAATCATATAAGCCTGTCTACTATGAGTTGATGTATCATTGATGAGGTTTGAAAGATATTGAGCTTTAAAAATGAATATTATCACAAAGCGTGTCACAAACAAACAAAAAACATAGCCAGTAAAATAGAAGCATAATAGGTAGAATTTATTTCTTAAAGTTTGATCTTTGGCTGATAAAGAATTCAATGATTTAGTGGTATGAAGTATTCTAAAAGCTTTTATTCCCCTTTCCCCTAATTTTGAGAGAGAATTTTGTCCCTTAATGTTTTGGTGGGTTTTTGTTTTGTTTTGTTTTTTAGATTGGCCCCACAATTTAGTGTAATCCCATCTATGTGAGTACCATCTATTGTGCTCTGCGGTTGATCTTCACATATCTTCATATCAAGATTCCACTTTCCTTTCTTCCTCGAAATTTTCCAGCCACCTAGTCACACCTCTTGTAAACTTCTCTCTCCTGTTTTGGATCTGTAACTAAGACCACTGTATTATCAAATGGAATTTCTTAACAATCAAAACTACATGGTTTTACACTGAATTTGGGATTTTAATATTCTTCTGTTCTTTAATTTTGTTTCTTTTAAATGTCTGTTTCCTTTATATAAAGTCATTTAGTTAGGGAAAGTATAGATTCCTCTCTCCCTTTTTAAATTTCTCACTAGGACCTAGAATTCCCCTTCTCTGTGAAGCTTAAGTCTACATTGTACTTTTTCCCCCCATTAGTATCCAGTAGGTTACCCTTCGGATAAGGAAGGGAAGAAGACTAAAGGACAGTCAAAGAAGGCAGGGGAAACCTCCAAAAGGCCAGTTCCAGACGATGGTAGGTAATGATTACAGAAAATAGATCCTAATAATATAACTTCTAATAAAGAGAAACATTAAGAGACTAACTTGAGAAACTTGTAAGAAATTAAAAGCAAAGTGAAGAGGGGTGGTGGCAAGGCAGTGGAAGTGGGAGCTTTTTTTATTGTATTTTGATAATTTCACAACCAAAACAGCAGCAAATATAGTATTCTACACTCCAGAGGAAGTTAGATGCTGCTTTATGCAGGTTATCTTCGTGCTAAACTTTACTGGAGCCAGTTAACTAATATTCCATAGTTCTGCTTAGAACCACTTGTACGTCTACTGATATATTTTTAAATTAATCTAGATGCTTGTGAAAGTGCCTCCAAGGTGTACAAAGCAGATTCAGCAGAAGCAGTTGAGGCTTTCAAACTAACCCCTGAACAACAGCATCTAATCAGAGAAGATCATCAAAACCAGAAGCTATGGGATGAAGTGCTTGCACATCTTGTGGAGGGACCAGTATGTAAAGATTCTTTAAAAATTATAATTACATGCCTTTATTTTTGAACTTTAAGTATAGTTGACAAACAATATTAGTTTCAGGTGTACAATATAGTGATTAGACATTTATATACTTTACTAGAGGCCTGGTGCACAAAATTCGTGCACGGGGTTAGAGGGGACCAGTGTCCTCAGCCTAGCCTGTCCCTCTCCAATCTGGGATCCCTGTGGGATCGGGCCTAATCCGGTGGTCATACATCCCTCTTGCAATTCAGGACCACTGGCTTCTAACCACTCACCTGCCTGTCTGCCTAATGCCCCCAACTGCCCTCCCATGCTGGCCTGGTCACCCCCAACTGCCCTCCCCTGCTCCTATCTGCCTCTGCCTTGGCCCCCACCAACATGGCTTTGTCCTGAAGGAAGTCGGATGTCTGGAAGATGGCCATTCATCCCACCCTAATTAGCATATTACCCTTTTATTAGTATAGATAGATTATATAGGATAGGATTGCTTAAATGGGAAAGGAGAGGAAGGAGCTTTTCTCAACAGGAGGAGATGCTCTTGGTGAACAAAAATGCATATCCTCTATATCTGGACTGATAGCCAGCCATATGCACTCTACTGCCAAACTGGTTATTAAAAAAATTGAACTGCTTTCTTACACCTTATATCAAACAGCTGTTGCCCTTAAAACCCTTCCTCAGCCCCCACCTTACATTCTGCTGTTCACCCAGATTAGTTTCTGATTGGTCAGTTTCTATGCCAGTCAGCACCAAAAGCTCCACCTCTTAGGCAGCCATCGGCTCCTCACAGTTCACCCAATTTGGTTCTGATTGGTCAGTTTCTGTATCAGTCAGCATCAAAAGCTGCGCCTCCTAGGCAGCCATTGGCTCCTCTTGGAAATCCAGAACAGCCCGCCTTCATGTCAGCGCTAACCCTTCAGTCATGCTTCCAGTCTGCTACTGGGTATGTCTCTGGCCAATCTGAGATACTGCACCTGAGATTTGTGCTGGTGGCAATTTTGAATTCTTATCCCTGACCTAACCTTACAATGTGAGCTCTGTGAAGGCAAGTATTTGTCTTGTTCATTCTTAGTTCATTCATAGATTTTACCTGTGTCTACGCATTTATGCTAGCACAAATGGTCATTTCTGTTATCATGGTCACTGCCTTTTTATATATGTGGATGGAAATGGTCACCACGTTAAGTCTAGTAATCATCTGTCACCATATTTAGTCATTATAAGATTTTTAAAATAATGTCCTAACATTAACAAATGATGAAAAATTTCCCTATAAAGTATCATTTTATATATATATATTATTATATTATATATATATTATTATATATAGTGATTTCAGAGAGGAAGGGAGAGGGAGATAGAAACATCAGTGATGAGTGAGACTCGTGGATTGGCTGCCTCCTGCATGCTCCCTATTGGGGATTGAGCCCAAAACACCTGGCATGTGCCCTTGACTGGAATCGAACCCATGACCCTTCATGTCTCAAGCCAAAGCTCTATCCACTGAGCCAAACCAGCTAAGGCTGAAGTATCATTTTTAGAAGTCAGTCAAAATTGATCCTTTAAATCTTTTCATCCAGTGCCTCCAGCTTTCAGAAACAATCTGAGGCAGTACTTACATAGTTTTAAATTTATTTTAGATCTCTTTGATTCTGAATTTTTAATTCTCTGTACCTGAGCTTAATAATGTATGTTGAGGTTCATGGGAAGAATTTTCAATTTTGGAACATATGCAACTTAATCTAAAAATTATCAGGAAGATTTCTGTTATATCAAAGTTACCAAATAGCATAAGTATTAAGCAATTCAGCACAATTTTTTAATACTTACATGTTCAACTTAAGGGTAAATAAATACTTCATGTTTTACATTTTTTTGGGTGGGTAATCATAAAATTTTTAAGTTAAAAAAGGAATGACAAAGTTGACTGATGTGTAGATTTTTTGTATTAAGCTGTGTTTTTTAGCAAACAAAGCTTTCTTATCAGATCCTCAAATTAATTGTCTATTCATTTCTTGCTTGCTCATTTGTTTTTATTGTCTTAAATTTTACTTACAAATTCAAATCTTCTATTTTATTAAACATTAACCCCTTGTTATGTGTAATATAGTTACTTTTCTTTTTGTTTCCCCTCCACAAGTATTGTGATCTGAAGCTATTTTTAGTGACCTCTAATATCCTCTTTTGAAATTCGATCTTATCATCTTTTAGTAATTTCTTTCCAATATTTATTTTCTTTCTCTCTGCATTAGCCAGATTTTCTCATATGTCTAAAATGGGATTAATGAATATATGTGCTTTCTTATTTTTTTATTGATTTTAGAGAAGAAGGGGAGAGGGAGAGAGAGATAGCAACATCAGTGATGAGAGAGAATCATTGATCAGCTGCCTCCTGCATGATTGGGGATTAAGTCCCAATCCAGGCATGTGCCCTGACCAAGAATTTCCTGGTTCATAAGTTGACACTCAACCACTGAACCACCCACAGCCAAACTGTATGTGCTTACTACCTATATTTAAAGGGAACTCTCTTAAGAGTTTTTGTGTTGCTTTTGTTTCAGAGATAGTCATCATTATTATGGGTGTTGCAGAGGTATGGTCAATTTGCATATTTCTCTTTTATTAGTGTAGATAGTCACTATGCTGCATATTATATCACCAGGAGTTATTTACTTTAAAACTAGAATTTTGTACCTTTTGACTCTCCACCCATTTAACTTACCCCCAACATCACCCCTGGCAGCCACTAATTTGTCCTCTACATTTATGAGGTTAGGATTGTTTGTTTGTTTGTTTGTTTAGATTCCACATATAAGTGAGATCATATGGTATTTGTCTTACATTTTGGGATCTTTGATTTTTTCTTTTTACTTGAAATTCTTGTAAATAGTCCTTTTCAATTAAAAATAACTGAATGGAGAATTATCCTTGTGACTATTCAAAAAACTACTTATCCTAATTTAAAAGAAACAAAAAGTTTGGGCAGAACCATTACTTGTTTGAAGAGTGTAGAACACCCATTGGATCACATTTGCTTTCTCTTGCTCTAACTTTTATTAATTTAGTCCCAATATGAGTACACATTAGCATGAGGGAAATATGGGACTTTGGGGTTGAGACAAAATATTAGTCCTAGGAAAATATGTTGATTCTTTGGGGTCTTAGATATTATAGAGTATTGTTACTCACTGCACTTTTTTTTTTTAAGCTTAAATTAATATTCAAGTTTTGTAGCAAAAGATTGAATAAATAATGCATTTTTATATAATGGAATACCATATAGCTTTTTGGAAGATGTATATAATCTTGAAACAAGCTGTTTGTGATTTTTATTCTTTATTTAATTTTGTTGTATTGTGTTTTTTGTTTTTTTACATTGCCATTTATCCCCCATATACCCTCTTCTACCTCCACCCCCCCCCCCCCCCTCCCATCCACACAGTCACCACACAGTTGTCTGTGTCCATAAGCCATAATATTTTTTAACAGTGAAAAATAATCTCTGAAACGTGAGGTTTGTGTGGGTGGCATTTAGATTTTAATGTTACATGTTTGACTTTGCAATCTTTCCAACCCAATTCTGAGATTTAAAACTAATGTGTATATCTTATGAATTGGTTTTTTTCCTGTTTCTGTGACATGTTTGCTAATCATTGCAATCACTATTTGATTTTTTCTTAATTAAAACCATTAAACGTAACAGAGACACTTTAAAAAATCATTTTGCATTTTATTAATATGTTATGAAATGCTAACCTATTTGTTCTTCCTTTTGGATATCATCTAGAATTTTCTGAAAAAATTGGAACAGTCCTTTATGTGTGTCTGCTGCCAGGAGCTAGTTTACCAGCCTGTAACAACAGATTGCCTCCACAATGTCTGTAAAGTAAGTAGAATTTCTTTCCCGTTTTCCCTTATTGGCCAGAAGGCACACTGATCTCCAAAACTGTTTCTACCATGTGAAAAAGCATTTTTCCATAAAACAAAATAGTCATAGAACCTTGTCAATTCAGAAGCATTTTATTATATATTAGTGGTAAGTGCATGTTTTAATTAGATAGTAATAGTAAATCAAATATATGTACAGTTGAGGTATTCTATCATGTTTGGCATTGTTAGGAAGAGGTTGAAATGGAGAAGAGAAATAGGTGTCATTGCGTTTTTTTCTTATATTTTTCATATGTTTCGTATAGTTTAGTGTAAACTTAAATAGTTGCAAGTATATAAGGGGATCTAAAGCAGATTCTATCTTGCAGCATGCTCAGAGGAGTTGAATATTGTGTTGTGAAAGGAAAATTTGAGCTATAATAAAAACAAGGTTGGAATCTTGCTCTACTGCTTGGTGGTTGTGTGCCCTGAACTAAGTTAAGTGATTAGTTCTAAGCAGGGGAATCTTCAGGGTTTGGTTTGGTGTTTTTTTTTTTTTGTTTTTTTTTTTTTTTTCCTTTAGCGCTCTATCAGAAAAGAACAGGGTTAAAATCCACCCTAGAAGATGAGGCTAGTGAGAACCATAATCTTTAACACTCTCATTTTACTAGATGAGGAAATTAAAGCACACAAAAGTTGAATCGTTTACCTGAACTCTCACAGTATGTTCTAGAATAGTGATTTCAATTGGTGTGCTGCAAGAATTTTTAAAATGTGCAATACCTGACTGTTTGGTCAGGGGCAGTGACCTCTTTTTTTTCTTAGATTGTGTGTGTGTGTATATATATATATATATTTGATAACAGCTAAAATTAAAAAAATGACAACAGCCAATACAATAATAGCCATGTGAATGCCCTGTCTCAAACCATAAATAATATATAGGTCGTATAATAGAGTTTGCTGTTTTATTGGTCATGTGCACAATAGGTTGTGTCTGGTTGGTTAATTCCTGGTACCAGAATTTTTTATAGACAAGTATAGGTACCTGATATTTTAAAAAATCTCTTAACTCTTACCTCCCCTACCCCCACAAATCAATAAAAAAAAATACTTTTTTTTTTTTCGTATTGGCAAAAAGTAGACTTTTTTTTTGTATGCTGCAGAATTTTAGTAATTAGTTTGTGTGTGCCATAAGATAAAAAAGGAAGTTGAAAATTGAAAATTGCTGTGCTAGAGGTAGAGCTAAAGCCATGTCTATAGACTTGTGTTCATATGATAGTATAGATTCAGGCCTTTAATGGTTTTCCATCTTTTATGTTTTTCTTGTTGCTAAACACTATGTTTCTAATTATTAAGTCCTTTTTTACATGCTTTATCAGATGAAATTGGATGTATTTTTGGATTTTTTTATTTTTACCTTAGGATTGTTTGCAGCGTTCCTTTAAGGCTCAAGTTTTCTCCTGCCCTGCTTGCCGGCATGATCTTGGCCAGAATTACATCATGATTCCCAATGAGAGTCTGCAGACTCTACTTGACCTTTTCTTTCCTGGCTACAGCAAAGGACGATGATCTGTCTACAACCACTGTGTTGCTCCTGGTGATTTTTTTGGACAGTAAAGAATCTAAAGTGGTTGAGGGTGGGTAGGGGTGGAAGCAATGTTGGACCATATCTCTCATGTTCTGAAGCAGCTAATCCTCTTTTCCTACATAGCCATCATCTTGTGTGTGTAGTTAAGAGGCCCATTTCTCAACTGTCTTTTAAATATCAAAAGGTAGTTCCTGTCAATAACAACTAGTTGTAATGAGTAGAAGTTGAAGCCTCAGCTCTAGTTGATATCCAAGTTATGATTTATTTTGCAACTACCTCAGGACAGAAAAGATTTATGGGGATTTTTAAATCATTGAATAATTAGTTAAATGAAATTTTAGCTACACACTGCCTCCCAGATATTAGTTGTGCCTGGTTCATGTAATTTGATTTTACAGAAAAGGAAATGACACTTGAGATCGTTGGAATGAACGCAGCTTCTGTAGTGTGTGCAAAATACATTTTTAATATCTTCCATTACAATGTGTGTTTTACAAGAAAAGGTTCATTTTTTAGCCCATTTTGTGAGCTCCATTGTGCTTTTTTCTGGTGTTTTATGCAAGTTGACTACTAATGACTAATGAGAACAATATGAATGCATTGTTGCTGCATTGTAATGTGTGGTTTTGCACTTAAAAGAAGTATTTGGATGCTCTGATTGTAACTGTTTATGAAAAGAGTCTTCTGTACTAGTCAAACTGCTTTTATTGAGTCTCACCAGTGGTTTTACATCTGCAGAGCATTGAGGACTGGGCTGACTTTTGAGAGGGCTGAAATTGCTTCATATTGTGATCCTAAATTTTATATTCACTGCTCCCGAAAGTATACCTTAATAAATATTTTATGACCAGCAGAATAGCTCATCTTGCTTCACTGTTTTACGTTTGTCTGGCTTGTAGTACATGCGTTTAAGAATCAGTCATTTCCAGAGTATTTCATGTACAATTGATTTTTATTGATACAGGTATTTTTTTTAAAGAAGTTTTATTTTCTGTAGTAGTTTTAGGTTCATAGTAAAACTGAGAGGAAGGTACAGAAGTTTTCCTATGTTCCTTGCTCTCTCTGCAACCTCCCCCATTATCTATATCCTCCACCAGAGCAGCCATTTGTTACAATTGATGAACCTATATTAACACGTCATTCTTACCCAAAGTCCGCAGTTTACATTAGGATTCACTCTTGGTATTATACATTCTATGGGTTTGGACAAATATATTGTATAATGACATGTATTCAATATATTGTACAATATTATACAGAGTTTCTTTTTAAATTAAGCCGCTTTTCAGTTATAGTTGACATACAATATTATATTACTTTTTAGGTGTACACCCAGTGATTCGACATTACACTGGTGAAACTTACTAAGTGATCACGCAGATAAATCTACCGATCTAATACTATTCATAGTTATTAGAGTATTACTGACTGTATTCCCTATGCTGTACTTTACATGCACATAACCATTCGGCCAGATTTCAGATGGTTCTCAATGATGTTTGTCCTTTTTTAGTTGTATTGATACAGATATTCTTGCACAATTTTTCACTCTTTGATTTTCAGTAACAAGAACTAATACTGGTGGGGAAAAGGAGACATTTTGGGGGGCTAGCAATCTTAATCTGTGCCAGTAACCTAATGCACATTCTTGTTAGCCTATAGTCTAGTCACTGCCCTTTCTTTAATTATCTGGTCCTGCAAGACCTGTTTACCTAAGTACTACTCCCATTTTAGAGAGGCCATAAACCATGAACAATACTCAACCCCCAGACAGAGTTATCAGCACTGGCACCAGGCCAGGCCTTAAGGTGGGGTCTCACAGCCCCCACCCCAACACGGGGCTATTTGCAAAGCCTGCACAAGGTCCAGAAGTCCCATCCCATATTTGGGGTCACCTGGTAAATTCTGTAACAATACGAAATCTTAAGCACTGTCCAGCCTGTGGGGCACAGTGGTTGAGCATTGGCCTATGAAATAGGAGGTTATGGTTCGATTCCCGGTCAGGGCACATTCCCAGGTTGCTAGTTCGATGCCCAGAGGGCATGTAGAAGGCAGCCAATCAATGATTCTCATCATTGATATTTCCCTCCCTTCCTCTCTGAAATCAATAAAGATATATTTTTTAAAATCTTTTTTAAAAATAATGGGAAAATATCCTCAGATAACAAAAACATTTTTTAAAAAATAGACATCAGTGATGAGAGAGAATCATTGATCAGCCGCCTCCTGCATGCCCCCCACTGGGGATTGAGCCCACAAGCCAGGCATGTGCCGTGACTTCCTGGTTCATAGATCGATGCCCCCCCCAGCTGGTTTAGTTGCTATTTTTTTTTTATGGGGGAAAGAGGAATGTTTCACCATCATATCCATGTCTTTGAACCAGAGATGACAATATTTCACACTCCTGTTCAGTTTCTCAAAAAAGAAATGCTACCAGTATCTCCTCATACATTATTTCACTTACTACTCAAAACCCGTGAAGTAAATTCCATTTTACAGACAAGGCAATGGTTTCCGAGTTAATCTCCTAGGTCTCAGGCAGTCAGCAGCAGACTTAGAATATAAACTCAACACTGTGTGTTGCTTTTCCACCACTTTCCCTGCTTCACTGTGTTACTTATTTCTAAGTTCTATTACATCCTTTTGCCCTTTGAAAACCAGGTTTGGGCACTTTGAAAGAGATCTAATGTGCAGTGCAACTGAGTTTCATCTAAGAATACCAGTGTGGTTGTTGTATCGCACATCATTTCTTTCAGAGACTCTTCTCATTTTCATAATTATGACAACCAGGAGCTGCATTCTTAAATGAAACTGGTTTCTGGGAAATAATGAAATTGCTTAAGGACTGTATTGAGCGGACTGTATTGAGCCTGCTTAACTGTGCCACTCCTCCAGAACTGCCTCATGCTCCCTGGCATTAGGCTTCAGATTAACAGTGTTTCTCAGTGGCAGACTCCATGAGAGTCCCAGGTGAAAGGCTCTCTTTTTGACAAAACACAGAAGTAGCGCTAACTCCCCACTCCTCCCCACACGGCTGGCATCACGTCCAACACACTCCTTCGCTATTTGCAAGTTTATTTATCAGCCTACCCAACTGTCTCCTTTCATGGGAAGCATTTTCCTCATTGTCTTTTGGAATGTATTTGAAGCAGCTTCTTTTAACCAATAAAAGCATTTAGTTCTTCTATTTTGAGAAACTCATAATCCTGTGTAGTTCACGTTGGATCAAAGGTAGTAAATGGAAGTGAGTTACTTTTTCCCCCCATTCTTTATGCCAGTCTTTTAAAAAGGATTAGGTCCCAGTGGCAGCACCTTTGGGGCGGGAAATCTGAATTTTTTTTAGGATGCCTGACATCACTCCTGGTGCCTGGGATTCCACCCTGTTTGGGGGAGTTTGGCTGCTATTTAAAGCACTTAAATCTCACCAAGTCTTTGTTTTCTTCTAATAATCTTCAAAAGTGCTTTTGTAGGAAATTTGAAATGTCACACTCGAACCATACAAACATATTTACTAATAATATTAAAATGCACAATTGTATCAAAAGCACACTAAAATTTCTCTCTTGCATCAGTTTTAAAAACCCTAACCTCTTAAAAGAGGTCTAGACACCTGAAAGTCCTAACAGCTCATTAAAAAAATAGCTTAGGCTGAAACTGGTTTGGCTCAGTGGACAGAGCGTTCGTCTGCGGACTGAAGGGTGCCAGGTTCAATTCCGATCAAGGGCATGTACATTGGTTGCGGGCACATTCCCAGTGAGGGGTGTGCAAGAGGCAGCTGATCGATGATTCTCTCTCATCGATGTTTCTAACTCTCTATCCCTCTCTCTTCCTGTCTGTAAAAAAATCAATAAAAATATTTTTTTAAAAATAGCTTAGAGTTGATTTCTTCTACTCTACCATCAATTCTTTTGAATTCAGAAGAACTGCAGGCCATCTCCAACCTGCATCATAGATGTTAGTCTGTAAAATGACAGCCATGGCCTGTGACTTGATGTAAGTTAAAAATGAAATGATCTTGTTTGTTCAAATATTTCCTATAGGAAATGATGTAGAGGGAGTGGCTAGATTCCCAGGTTAGCCAATAAAACCAATGAAGCCATAATCTACCAATCAGCACTCTTGTATGGAAAAGGCACCCAATAACTGCTACTTGCATGCACCAGAGACCTTCTCCAAATTAACTGCATTTCCAAACAAGCTTTGGGGTAGGTGATGTTACGGCCAGAATTGTAACTTTCATATCGGGGACGTAGGGCCATCGCCAGGGAGCTGTATGTGTGAAAGGTGTGGAGGAGACTGGGGAGAAGCTCCAGGTGGAACATGGGGACAGGTATGAAGGCTGGGAGTGAGGGTGGGAGGTGAAAACAAGTGCTCAGTGAAGCCAGCACTGGAATTGCATATGAACAGAAGGAAGGAAAAGCCCATCACACACAGGCACACAAACACTCCACATTAATCACATGTCAGGACGCCTGCCTACATACATCACAGCAATGCACAAGTGGGTCCTCCAGCCCCTCAGCTCAGCCTCTGCGGTCTTGGGAAGTGTCCACCAGCCCTGTCCTCAGGGCCTGCTGCTGTGCGTGGTCACATTTCATCTTCAAAGACACTCTAGCCTCTGGCATTGGTATTTTCTCCCACTTGGTCCCCTCAGTTGAATCATTCTGCCTTGTTGGTTTCCAAAAGAAGACTTCCTGGCTCTTTTTCTCTGAGGACCCTACTCTCCCACACATCTTTCCTTCCAGTGCGTGGGGTCCTCCCTCAGCCCCTTTACTGACAGGCTGGCCCACTCCCTGGCCTTTGCTCTGTTGTCTGGTGCTCACTGTGCTCTTTCTCATCCTGGGGTTTGGACCCAAGAACTGTTTCTCCCTTGCCTGCCTCCCTCTCAAACTTGGGACCTCCTCCCCCTCTACTCCTTCCCTTTGCCATCTTAAACTGATTTTTCATCCCATCCCTTCCCATTCTCGTGATCTCTCTTCCTGATTCCAGGGAGACCTCCTGGGCTTGTTGCTCATGCTCTGGACCTCCTTCTCCCACCATCTCTGGCTTTGACTCTTCTTTCATTTGCCATCATTTTTCTTCCACTTTCACACCTTAATTCTTTCTCATTCCCTTATCTACCTCCTCTCCCATTTTTTCCTGTTCATAACCTGCATCTTCTCCCGCTTCCATTCCTACTCCCTCCTTTACAAATGCTTCCTCCCTTCCTAACACAGGTACCCCTTCCTAACACACACATACACACAAACACACACACACACTTTCACACACACACACACACACACACACACACACACACACACACACACACTTTCCCCCCTTTTCCTCAAAGCCTTCCACCCGAGTCAGGGGCCCCTTCTCTGGACCCTAATTTTATTTTTGATGATCTTGACTCTAGGCTCAAACACCCCCTCCCTGTTTTGACTTCCAGCAAGATTTGCACACCTTGCCTCAAACCCAGCTTTTATTCCTCATCTTCCTTCCCTCTCTATTTCCCAGGGATTAAAACCACTTACATATGAGATTGAAAACAAATGTTAAAATGTAGACATTAAAATTTTCGAATATGCTTCTCTTTCTAAATAAATATCCTCTCCTCCCCCACACTTTGTCATTGCTGGCTTCTTTTTGTTCAGATTTTCTCCTAAAAGGCAGCTTTCTGAGAATCCTTCCCTGCCCACCCAATATAAAGGGGTTGGTCCATCCTCCTCCCCCCCCCCCCACCCCCGACACAGGAACCATGGTAGTTTCTGTATTACAAAGAGCATTTCACCTTGTGAAATCTTACTTAATGTGTTGTCTGTTTAATCTGGAATTGATGCTCCGTGAAAGGCCTTATCTTGTTTACCTGGT